TGGATGGGAAGTCTCTTCCAGGCTTTTTTTCCCCCTTGGGTGACCTCTGAAGTCAGGATAACTAGCATCTTCTATAGGGTGACTTGAGGCCTGGGGGGAGTAGCCTCATGGATGGGGTCAGATGTGATAGTGGTGGCCTCTCTGGTGCTGGTAGTTTTTAAGTCAACTCCTTTGTGAGGGACTCCCATACTGTGCTAGCTCATGGTAAGGGGGTTTTTATGGAACCTAACCTCTTCCTAAAGCTGCTTAATGCAACTGGAAGCTGCACCTGGTGGCTGTCCTACCTGTAACCATATCAAATGCTTCCTCAGTACCTCAAATAGAAGTAGTCTTGAAACATAGGTTATGATGGAGCCTCTTAAAGCGATGGTCTCTATTCTTTGCCCTCCCGTAGGCTCCTTAAAAAGGGCAAGGAGTCACCTAGACACTTTTAACTGATGATGCATTTCTTTCCAGCAACCGAAGGACATTTGTGCCATGGTTGGGTTCTGTCCTTCCCTGAAATCTGTTCCTCTTCAGAAGCTAGTGCCAGCTCAAGTGGTTCATGAAGTAAAAATGGAAACTGTGGAGGTAAGGTAGCTGCCTTAGTACTGTTCTCACAGCTCTGTGATCCTCACTGCTTTGCTGTAATAAAGTAGATGAAGCAGAAAAATAGACTTGAGACTCTCTGTAATCCAACCACATAAAAGCTTGGTGTCTTCCTGTTCCTGTGGCTCTTCTGTGAGGTGGAAAAGCTGACTGATTTGTTAGAATAGCAGAGCTATAAGGTATTGCTTCAAGTTACCTTTGAAATAAAACTCTTGGGTTGCTATACTTCAGTGCAATAAACTCTAAATTGGTGGAAAAACCCTTTCTGAACATGGGTTTTGCCTGATATTTTTAAAGTTATCCTTCAACCCTTTAAAATGAGACAGCAATGCTCATACAGATGAGTGCAGTTAGTCTGAACTCTGGAGCAGGATTTGGACAAAACACCTTAGTTTTTCCCACAGCCTTTGGCTTGAAGTGTGCCAAGTTTTTTCAAAGCCCCCTTTTTGAGGACAGCTTTAACTTCTGATTAACTGACTCCGAATGGAATCTCCAAGTTCCTCTCTCTCGGCTTCTTGTGCAGGCAAAAGGGAGCTCTTGACTCTAAATTGCTCTCAACTAAAAAGAAAAACAAACATGCAAAAAACAAAGCACTTCCCACTTACCAACCGTGCCTAAAGCGAAGGTATCGTTACTTTTTCATGTCTATGGGATTCAGTCCCCTTTCTTAAATGACCAAGGTATCTTAAGGGTACAAAATCCTGCTTGTTCACCAAGGTGCATTGTTACTGAGACCTTTGAGGCTTTTGGCTTTTATGATCTTTTGAATTCAGCTCAGATTTACTAGATAAGCGAGATGTCATGCTTCATTTGAAGTTAAATGCCATTAGAGCCTTAGTCATCTGTGCCAAATGTGGTGAAGGGTTGACCTACAGTTTTATAAATATTATCTTTCTTCTGTGACACTGCAGAAAACAGCAGTTCAAGAGAAGACATTTTCTGTGTGTGAAATATGTGAGACTGTGGTGAAGGAAGTGACTGGCCTGCTGGAGAGCAACAAGACAGAGGTAAAGCTGAGAACAGGGACTCTTTCAAAGCTTTCCCTAGAATGGTGCTGTTGTAGGGGTGGAAGCGGGTTCATTTATTGCTTGTTTTCGTGCAAATGAAACGCGTGCTGTCCTTGGGCACAACAAATAACTAAGCAAATGTACGTAAGCCTGGGGTTTCTGCTGCTTCATTTGCCCTGTTATGCTTCAGGAGGAGATTGTACACGAGATGGAGGTGATCTGCTACCTGTTCCCCATGAGTGTCAAGGACCAGTGCAAAGACTTCATAGATGTCTATGGCCAGGCGGTGATTGACATGCTTCTGGAAGCAACTAATCCTGAGACTGTGTGCGTTATGCTGAAGTGCTGTGCAAGCAACAAGCCTCCTCAGCCAGGTTGGTAATGAGGAAATCAGCATGTTGCAAAATGAGCTAGCTTACCTCTGATTGTATCTCCTTTTAAGGACTCACACCTGTTTAGCTTGATCTTGCCTCCTTTCTTTCATCTCGGGGGGACTCCACGAGTGTCAATTTTATTTTTTT